AATCCTAGGGTTCCTTTCTAGACCTTAACTTCAATCAATCCAATTAAAGAATTAATTCATGAAAGAGAAATAAAACCAAAAGTGAAAAGGTCCAATTCTATTCTTGAAATTGTATCCTCCATTAACGACATGAACATTGGTTTGCTCGTTTGGGTTCCAAGCACAAAGTTTCTTTAAAATGATGGATCGATTAGCCCATGAGAATTTTTTGCGGTACGTTTGGTTCGCGTCAAATCTCTTTCTGGGAGAGAGATTTCCAGCTGGGTCACTGCTTTCCCATATTTGTTTCGTGAGTAAGCAGCGGGTGTGAAAGCACTCAAGGATTCATGTCGCCATACTGAATAGCGGTGTTCCATGGGAAAGCAGCCTCATACCTTGAGAGATATGAAACCGATTTCTCATCATGTCGAAAACCACTCTCCTGGAGAGAGATTTCCGGAAATGATTTCCCACGAATCAAAATATTATCCGTTCACCATGAATTAATAATGGGTGTGGTTTTTATAAGGTTGCAACCTTAAACAATCCAATTAAGGCATGTAATTTTGGTGTAGAAAATTTTTAAGATTATCTCAAAATCTATTTTTATATCTACTTATAAAATTTTAAATTCCAAAAATGGTTAAAATCAAGTAGATTGATAAATATATGAAAATCTTGAAAATAGGTTGTTTAAATAATGTATTGCAAGATGCACTATTTCTGGGACTCAAAATCTTTTTTTTTTTGTCATATTCATACATCTCAATGTCGAGATGATCAATTAGAGGGTTTTTCAATATTGAAACAACCTTTTCCAACAGATTTTTGAGGTGCATCTTTAATTCTACATTTTAAGGTTGCAATCTTATATAAACTTTTTTCATTATTAATTTGGCTATTTTTCCAATGCCCTAATTTTGGGAAAAGAGATGTCAAGCCTCAAATTTTTGGGGTTGTCGATCTATGTATCATGAATTAGGGTTTTTAGTAGATATTTTACGTACATGTCCAATTCTTGTATCATTTGTTACATATTCAAAGTAGATGAAATTTGCTAGTGTATCTGATCAATTGTTGGAACTCCCACAATTCTACAAAATAATGATTAGCGAGGCAATGGGAAATGGATACAATAAGGGAATTTACTTTTGATATAATGAAGTCACAAGCAACCGTGAAATTTGAAACCTAGTGGTTGAGGATGTATCACTGTTTGGGTATAATGTCTAAAATAAAATTTCTCAAATGTTCTGACATGCTTTCATCCATTGTATTTTACATCAAATAGCCAAAAGTGATTGTGACCTCCTTGTACTAAAAATAAATGTTCTCAATGTACAATATCTAGATAATATATGCATACACACATGCATGTAGAAGTTATCTAGTCTGTTGCACGTGTATGCTATGCATGCACCTACAACGCATGGGTACCTGCGGGCTCACGCGTAATGGGAAAGTGAAAGAATGGTATTGGGGGGATCCCAAGCGCTACAAATTTATTTTAATTGGGAGAAAAAAAACAAGCTAAAAATATAATCTTAAATGCTGTCACTTAGAAATGCAATGGTATTTTCACAGTATTTGGTGTATGATCCAAACCAACAATAAGTTTCCAGTATTTGGTGTATGATCCAAACCAACAATAAGTTTCCAGTAAATAGAGGGGAAGGTCTTTTTAAATGAATGCCTGCACATAATAAATATTTTCTCCTTAATTTTTGTAAACGTCGTTTCTTTTTTTTGCTCAACTCTTTATATAATAAATGTTAGGGAAAATCACAAAAAACACCCCAAATTGTACTTTTTAAACACTTGACCCCTACCCCAATCTTTTCTCACTTCTTTTTAGTAAAAACCATATTTTCTAACTAATACCCCCAACTGAAAAAGGTATATTGTTTTTGACAAAAATACCCCTTCTTGTACCTTGAACGTATGACCAAATCTTTCGGACGGACCCCAATAAATCTTTCACTGGACTGAGTTTCTAAACTACCGGAGTGCTTATGAGACAACAATATGCCAGATTGAATATCTAAAACACCGGACTGAACCCACTCTAGTAGTAACATTACCAGAGTTATATTACAAATCACCGGTCTGCACATTAAACAAATTGCCATATTGCTCAGAGACATGATCGGACTGACCCGCCAGGGACGTAATTGCCAGATTAAAGCTCCAAAACTCCGGACTATTTGACGTAGCCATATTCAACTATGCCAAACTACTTCAGTGTATTTGCCGAAGTGCCTATGTTTCCAAGAAGCATATCGCCTGGGTGATGCGGTGAATCGCCGGACTACAAAATTTCCAGGGAGGAAACTGCCGGTTTGATATTCTTCACATGCTGGAGCGCTCTTCACAAGTGTCGGAGTTATTATTTTACAGTTAACTACCTGTCGGAGTACATTCTAATGGTGCCGGAGTGCCTATTTTACAGTCAACTATTCGTCGGAGCGAGTTCATCAATTGCCGGAGTGAATTCTAAAGATGTCGGAGTGCATTTTATAGGTGCCGAACTGCCTATTTAACAGTGAACTATCCTCCAGAGTGCATTCCATACATGCTGGAGTGTAAAATTGGTCGGTTAAAAAGGGAAGGGCAAACTTGTCTTTTTTTCAAATTTTTGGAGATTGGGGCATATTAGTTATAAAAGTTAAATTTTGAGAAATTTTAGTGAGAAAAGATTAAGGTGGAGGTAAAGTGTTTAGAAAGTAAAATTTGGGATGATTTTAGTAATTTTCTCTAAATGTTATACTTGAAAAAATAATCCCAAGAAGTTCGTTATGTAAAGCACTTGTGTGTGTTCTTGCAACCAATGGAGAATAACAATTAAAATTCACTTCTATCGAGTCTGAGTAACTCACCGAGTCCGAATTGACTTCACAAATTCTACCAACCAATGTAGAATTACAATTAAAATTCACTTCTATCAAGTCCGAGTAACTCAGCCGAGTCCGAATTGACTTGACAAAATTCTACCGAAGAGTGGAAACTAAGGTTCCTCTTGGAAAGGGTTAGAGTTTAGTCACTTCAATATTTAACCATTTCGTCCATAATCTTATAACAAGGTAACCATGATGTAGGGTTGTGTTAGCGTGGAAATTTGATACTAAAAAATTCAAAATAAGCTCAACCACTTTGGATCAATTGTTAAATGAGCTGGAGAGAAAATCAATTTGGGTTTACTAACATCATTCTTACCTAATCTCATAGTTCTCTTTTGTTTGATTTTTGGTTGTTTGACGCCTTCTTTGTGTTGATGTTATTTGTATGGTGGTCTCATGTACTTGTTTCTTATTTTTTATAGTACATTTCTTACGTGTCAGCATGAAAAATTAGTAATAAAACATAAAAAAAATAATGAGTTGGTTGGATTAATGCCGGCTCCATTTTTGTTGACCCCCTTCCTTTATTCATAGTTTTTAATGTTATTGTTCATGATACATGGAAGGATTAAATAAAATTAGTTACCCATACTTCATTAAAAGATATTTTTCATAACTCAAAAGCTTTGCAGTCATTTTTATTTTATCAGCCATCCCTATTCAAACTCCATGGCCGGTTCCAACCTGGTCATGTCGGTTCCAAGCCCAAATAAAGGAAGAGGGCTGTATTAGGTAGGGTAGCGTAAAAGTTTGCCACATGTTTTTATAAATCTTGAATCTGTATTATATACTCATGCTATGGCGTTTTTTATAAGATATGTGTTGTAATGTCTGAGTGAAGGTATGACCCTTGATGTAGAAGAATGATAGAACAAGATTAGGGTGGTCGATCCTAAATAGTTGAAATAAAGCTATCGTATGATGATGATGAACCGTCCCTAGTTCAAGAAAGTAAAACATGTTTTTGTTTTTTTTTTTTGGTAGAATCATGGATTGTATATAGCTTCACAAGAGTCATAGCTCTTTAACTTGGGAAATAGAAAATTAGGATCACGGCCTTACCTTTTGCACACGTTATTGTTTATATTAACCCAGTAACCCATTTCTAGGTTCATGTACTTTGCATTTATAATACAAATATAGGAAACATTGGCCACCAGATCCAAAATGCTTCAATTTCCAACATATCTTCTCTTGATCATGGATTTCATTTAAATTAAGGTTCAAGGATCCTTTTTAGAAACCTTTTTCTCTTAATAAAAAACTACTAGAAAACAAAATAAAAAATGTGAAAAAACACTTAAAGGTGGTGTCATGTCTATACATAGAAGATAACAAATTAATGGCCTACCCACACTGAAGCTATGCTTTCTTTGGAAAGTTAGAGAAACAATTTGAATGTTATTTCTCTCTCTAAACATCCTCTCATCTTCTCTCTCTAAATTTATTTGAATAAGTGATTTAAAAAATATAACGGCGATCAGGATCCGCCATTACAAAACCTGGTCTAGATCGGTGAATCGATGGATTTGGCTGTCGTTTCACTGTATGAAAAATAGTGGACCTGTAAAATAACATGTGCAAAAATAATAAACCAGCCAAAAACTAATCCGGATCTGTGAATCGATATTATTTTTTCTTTTTTTAAGTAATTCACTGGAGAAGACATACCCTTACCCGTTCTTTCAAGAAGATTAGGAGCTAGTTTTCTTTTTGAACGAGTTAGTGGAGCTCTACCCGTTTTTTCAAGTAAATTAAGAGTTAGATTTTTGAAAGGGTTAATGGGAGATGTTAGAAGGTAAAACGTTGTTTTATTGAGAACCAAATGATTTTTTATATATTAACAAAATCGTTACGAAATGACCGATTTTCAAGTTAGATTTGACTATTCTGAGTTTTCTCTCTCTCTTTCTCTCTCAACTTAATTCAGATTTCAGATTTCACACAGCCCACAATTGATCCATGACAATCTAATGACACGAAAGCTTTCAACCCCAAAAAAGGATCTGTGTACCCCCTGATCACAACTCGTGTGACATGACCCACTCAGGTAGTATTTATTCTAGAGAGAGAAACAGATATCAAATCAAGAACCCAGAAACATGTCCAAACATGGTACACAGGCACGATTTATCTCATATAAGTAAAAAATCTGACAAAAGAAGACCACAATATTTGACTGATATTCATCCACATAAGTTAAATAAACAAAGAAGAGAGAGAAAGAAGTAGAGAGAGAAAGTAAAAAGAAAGAGAGTCCCGGAAAACGGGATGGAGCAGCAAAAATGGACAAAAACGGCCCAGAAAACCTGGCCCATGTTCTAATAGTTCGTGCCGCTGCTCAGTGCTTTAAATTTCCGAGAAGAGGGAGGGGCAGTAAGTGTCGAACCAAGCGGTCAAACCCACCAAAGTTATTTTCTCTCTCTAGGTGGGGGAAGAAGCTCGACTGAGACGAGTGTTGCTTTCTCTCTCTAATAAGAGCTCTACTACAATGGGTTATCCCTGATTTCATTCACAGTCCCCTAAGATCAAAGAAAACAGGAGGGTGAAAAGGATAAAAGCAAAGGAAATTGGAAGCAAGACATATGAGCTGAAACAGAATGAAATTTAGAGAGAGAAAGAGAGAATTCACATTTGTGAAACAGAATGGCTAGAGAGAGAGAGATGATCACCTCTACATGTTTGAAAGAGATTGGTGTATAGAGAAAATGGGGAAGAAACTAAAGCAGTATCTGTGTCAAATGGATTGGAAGAATGAAAGAAGAGAGAGAGTTCATTGTGTCCCTGCGTTTAGAGAGAGAAACAAAGAGAGTGGGTGGTATAACCATTGGTATAAATTTTACAGAATGGGACACAAGAGAGCTAGGTAGTTGGATTCGTGGATTTAGAGAGAGAGAGAGAAAAAGAGAATCACAGTTTTAGAGAGAGAAATTGACAGTCATTGAGAGAAAATAAGATTTGCTGAATGAGAGCTGAAAGACACAAGGAAGAAACAGATACAGAGAAATAAAAAAGAGAAATAACAAAAAAAGAGAGTAAGATATTGGCATAAAACTCATAACCCATTCCAAGCTAGAGCTGGAGAAACAGGAAAAAAGAAAAAAGAGCTGAGAAGAAAGATAAGGTTAAAGAGAGGAGAAACCTCTCAGACTAAAATCAACAAGGGAGAGAGAGAGAGCAGTAGGTAATTTAAGAGAGAAAAAACCTCATTCCAAAAAAGTTGCTTCCTCTCTCCTCCAAGTTCACAAGGGTTCTCTCTCTCTCTCCTTTCTCAGTATGGTGGCCGGCCACCAGCCCACGCATACAAATCGTGCCCCATCTGTCCCCCATTCGGCATCAAATTCGGTGGCAAATTGTATATCGGCAAGGCACTTGGATCCGCCAGCTGCCCTCCTCCGCCACTCCCCCCACCTGATCCCTGAGCTGCCGCGGGCAGCTGCCCTGCCGCTGCTGCCTCCGCTTCTTCTTCCAATGGAAGCCTCTCGTATGTTGCATTTGCAAAAGTCGCCGCCACCACCATCACTGGCCCTGATGCCACCAAAGCTCCAACAACACAACCCCCGACTACTTGGCCTTGGCCCCCGGCCAAGTACACAGTCAGCCCGGTGGCACCAGGTGGTGCAGGACCGGGCAAGAAGGCTCCGGAGAGCGACAGGATTTCGAAGCGTCCGTGAAGTGTGACGATGGCGCCAGGGGCGGCGGGCTGGCGGAGGGTGACATTGGCTACGACACCGCTGCCACTCAGCACACACACCCCGCGCTGCCGACGGCGGGCGAACGCCGCAACACTCTCTGCCACATCGCTGCCACTAGCGACCTCCATGACGTGCGAGCGCAGGGCGTTCGGGCTGTCCCGGGTTATAATAATGGGGGGCTTGGGCTTGTTCTTGGATCCAGGGGGCCGGCCGCGGGGACGGCGGCCAGGGGGTTCAACGCCCTCCTGTCCGGTGTTGTCGTCATCCTGTTCAGGAGGAGAGGAGGTCGTCAGGGAAGCATTCGAAAGGCTGTTGTTGTTGTTGCTGGCGGGGTCGATGCGCTCGCGTTTCAGGCGAGAGAGGTTGGCGTTGTTATTCGAGGGGTTTCCAGATGAGGGAGAGGGAGGGGAGTGGTGTTGTTGGAGGTGGAGTGGCGGAGGCGGTGGTGGGTCGACTCCGGGCATGTGGCCATGCCCGGCCCACCACCGGTTCGCGAGGCTGAGATTCTCTATGGTGCTTGATTTGGGGGCGCGTTGTTAGAGAGAGAGAGAAAAGAGGATATGTGTGCTCTTCCCTCTCTATCACAACTACAAATAAAGAAGAAGGATTCTCAAACTTCCTATATCTGTAGAACCTTCATAAATTAAGTACAGCTCCTCATATATATCTCTGTAAATTTACAGCTCTAATTCCTCAAACATTCCTGCGATTTCTATTTCTTCATCTCAAATTCCGATCAGGAAAAAGCCCAACGTGCAATTAGAACCCACTCACTTTCTCTCTCTAGGACCCAAGTAAAAAAGACTCGGTTAGAGAGAGAGTTCTGCAACTGTCTCATTGACTGAAGGCAACTGTTAAGGATACGCACACGTGCGGGAGAAGGTACTTCTCTCACTGTTACTGAATGGATTTGCTGAGCTCCTTCAGCCTCTGGTTTGTTTCTCTCTCCAAGAAAAACAAATGATTTAGAGAGAGAAAGTCTCTGGTCTCTGGTCTCTGGTATCAGAGAGAGGTGTAATCAGAGAGAGCGGCGAATAGGGGATGGAGATAGAGTGAGGTGATGGTATATAAGGGATCGTGGTTTTGTGAAAGGTGGTTTGTGGTTTCGAGGGAGGTGGTATTTGGAGGGACGGAGGTGAGAGAGAGATTAGGGTTGGGAGTGTGGGGTAGCGTGCGCGTGAGCAGGTGGGAGCACGTCGTTTTCTCGCGCCCCGACGTATTAACGAATGCCGAGAGAGAGAAGTAGGGCCGATAATAGGACAGGTGGCCCGAACTGCTCTCTCGGGCCTTAAATTAGGGCCGGGCCATGAATTGTAGCCTGAACGCCGGGTTAGGACCAATGCTGGTGGTACAGTTCGGCTCACCCTCAACCTCTTTTTTTTTTTTTTTTCACATATAGTTTTTTTATTTGTGTTTTTATATATTATTTATTTGTGTTTGGCTCGGCCCAGTCTGGTCTGGCTTATAGGTCCTCTTTTTTTTTTGTTTTTTTGTTTTTTTGTTTTTTTTTTTTTTTTTTTTATTT